ATCTGATGTATACTGGATCTGATGTATACTAGATCTGATGTATACTGGATCTGATGTACACTGGATCTGATGTATACTAGATCTGATGTATTCTAGATTTGATTTGTACTAGATCTGATGTATACTAGATCTGATGTATACTGGATCTGATGTATACTGGATCTGATGTATACTAGATCTGATTTATACTAGATCTGATGTATACTAGATCAAATGTATACCGGATCTGATGTATACTGGATCTGATGTATACTAGATCTGATGTATACTAGATCTGATGTATACTGGATCTGATGTATACTAGATCTGATGTATACTGGATCTGATGTATACTAGATCTGATGTATACTAGATCTGATGTATACTGGATCTGATGTATACTAGATCTGATGTATACTGGATCTGATGTATACTAGATCTGATGTATACTAGATCTGATGTATACTGGATCTGATGTATACTAGATCTGATGTATACTGGATCTGATGTATACTAGATCTGATGTATACTAGATCTGATGTATACTGGATCTGATGTATACTAGATCTGATGTATACTGGATCTGATGTATACTAGATCTGATGTATACTAGATCTGATGTATACTGGATCTGATGTATACTAGATCTGATGTATACTGGATCTGATGTATACTAGATCTGATGTATACTAGATCTGATGTATACTGGATCTGATGTATACTAGATCTGATGTATACTGGATCTGATGTATACTAGATCTGATGTATACTAGATCTGATGTATACTGGATCTGATGTATACTAGATCTGATGTATACTGGATCTGATGTATACTAGATCTGATGTATACTAGATCTGATGTATACTGGATCTGATGTATACTAGATCTGATGTATACTGGATCTGATGTATACTAGATCTGATGTATACTATATCTGATCTAGATTTGATGTATACTAGATCTGATGTATACTGGATCTGATGTATACTAGATCTGATGTTTACTAGATCTGATGTATACTGGATCTGATCTAGATCTGATGTATACTGGATCTGATGTATACTAGATCTGATCTAGATCTGATGTATACTAGATTTGATCTAGATCTGATGTATACTGAATCTGATGTATACTAGATCTGATGTATACTTAACACAATGATGCTACGAATGGCTATTTCACTGACAAATAAAATGGCCATGTGTGTCAAAAACAAACAGTAGAAGTCAAAATATATATACAGAAAAGACTTAAGAAAACGAAGTTAACACTGCAAGTACTTATCGCATTAGACGACGTCAAATTGGTTAATATACAGATACACATATCATTTACAGCACTAAGTCACACATGAGTACAGTATTAACAACACGTTGATAGCCGGAAGTCAAACATTTTTACATGTCTATGTAGCATTCCCACTTACCAGCTGATATTGCAGAAAAGTGGTAGACTTTCTGCTTGTGTTGTACATGTTCTTTGTTACGAATGATTAAAACTATGAAAAATTCTATAAAGCGTCAACGTACAGGAACAATATCACAAAGTTACACAATGACATTAATAGGATCACACTATAACAACTAGATCTGAAAAGATACTTCAACAAGCGGAAAGTCATCTACAGGATCTTAGGAGACCCCGAAACAAAACAAAATGTATCAACACGGTCTAAGATGAGAAGACACCGAAACAAAAAGAAAGACATCATGACCAAGAAACATCGAACGTGATATGAACAGTAAAAAAAAGCAACTAAAGTTCGCCTTGTTTCCGAGTTAAGTTATAAGCAATTGAATGTACAAGTTTATTAAACTTATTTCGTAATTGATGAAAAATGAATAAAGTTCATTGAAATGCTATTGGGTAGAGTTTGTATATGTCTTTTTTCATTCTGTTTGTCATACCATGCTCATTTCATAAATATTGATACGGTCCTAGTTGAGGCAAAACAATCATCAAATTGTTTGTATGGATTATGAGTTATTCGAAAGATTTATTATTTTACTTTCGTTTCCTTTCTATTATGTATTCACTTTGAATTCACATTGCCATTCCCCAATCACTCACCTATCGAAGCATATTTATTGTTTGTATTGCATTGTCTTGTTATCACACATGGGCAGTACGTACACATTTATTTTTTAAGCGAATAAATTAAGGCGGTAAAAAAAGCGGATATTGTTTTGATTAAACAAAATAGATATCAAATGTCAAACATTCGAGATAAAAATTCATATCTAATTAAATAATGGAGGCAGGGATTTGTCCTGAATCCGTCTTAAAATAATGAAGCTCAAAATTAATAAACTGAGGGAAAAAGATGAACAATGGAAATATTCAAATGAAACATACCAGAAGAATAAGACCAGATGTTCTGGAATGGTAGGATTCCCTTGCTTTATCGACGACATCTGCCATAAGGTATGTCCCATCCTCACATCAAGAACGCCAACAGTGACAACACATCCACAAGACACTCTAATGAGACTAATAAAATATCGATATTTATATCAAGCAAAGAAATACAATATTTTCCTGATGGTTACCCTACAACATGACAACACTTTTCATCAACCAGCGTTTTCTGAAAACCCCAAGTTATAAGTTTGTCTTACAGCAGTCGACATCTTTTACGAAAGTCGTGATATTTAGAGCAAGCACTTGAGTACCAATTCATATGCAACATGTAAACATCGTAGGAAGGGGAACAGGGATGTTACTATCAAGAAAGAACCGTCACGCGTATTGTTTATCTTAGAAGGAAACCGTGACTGTCGATCATGTTGCAAGAACAGTTTTGAAACACATAAATAGAAAATTCAAAGGACATTGCATATATATTGCCTCTAAACGACCGCTTCTGAAATTGGGTATTACGTTAAATTCGAGTTAAATAATTTTTTACCGAGTATCTTTTCCAACTTGAAAATATACTTATGAGAGATAAATTAACCTGATAAGCAGTCATTATGAGTTTTAGGGGCCCTTTTCTCCAATAACGTTCATATTATAGCTAGAAAATCATATTAAGGAAACCTATAGTTGATATTAATTACCATTTGACATGACTAAAAACTCGGAAGAAAACTTTATCATTGGTCGGTATACCTTGCCACGTTGTTGCTTTCTCCATTTGGTTTCGGTTATTTTTACAGGCTTATATGATATATGTATTAGGAACCTAACTCGGACAGACAAACGATAGCTACGATGGAATGTAGGATGTGCCGAAGGTGCATGATTCTTTTTCATAATTTTAAAACGATAATTTGAACCAGCTGTTTATTTGGTTCGTTTTTGAAATCTGGGTAGTGGAAACTTTAAGGTGTTTTTTTTATTGTCGACATCACGAAAACTGAAGTTCAAATATAATTTCAATGTTTGATGGGAAAATAAAGCAAAAAGCAAGCGAGTTACACTTCTAAACGATGATATTGTATATAGCGAGGACTATTGTTGCTCAGTTCAATATTTTCTTAGGAGTTCATCACCAGAAAACTGTAAACAGTCCAGTTTATTATAAAAATGGTACATCAGATGGATTAACGATCCGAGAATTCTACGTAGGTTTTTCAAATGTACAGAAACTGACCTTTCAATCGATTTTTATGTAACTGTAGCGTAGTTGGGCAAGGGTACTAACGTTGGTCAGGTAGCAAAGGTGGTTCGAAAGACATACATCCATCTTTGGCAGTGACACGGAGATCCTTGAATAACAGGCTGCAAACATGGCAGGTATACATTAATCCTTACTTACTCTTACGGAACAAACTTTTAAATAATGTATATAGAAGGTAATCAAACGGAGATATTTTAACACAAACTGCATGTATACCATGTAAAGTAGCAGGTATTCGTAAGAAGCTGCTCGTATTGTTATCATTTTCTTTTGACTCGGGCTGTATTGATGCCAATGATGAACGTCACGAAGGTACAATGTAGCAGTTATCTATGGTAATCGTAGAGTAATTCTCTAAATAGTGAAAGTGAAAAAAAACCCATTGAATGTGTATCAAAACGAAACAAATATCGATTGTATTAAAATGATAGGTATTTTGTGATCTTCGGAAGGTGATATTTATCGCGTTTATCATGTAAAAATACAACCCACACATATTATTCTAAAAAATAATTGTATGCACTAGTCTAAAATTCAGATATAATTGTTTTTGTTCAATCCCTATACAGGATTGGTTGTAGTTTGAGTACATGACGGATGGTTGGGTGGCGCAATGGAGAGCTGCTTCGCCTTTTCACCAAGACAGCATTGTTCGATTCCCTGATCACACGTGAAAAAGTATGGGTCTGCCCGACAGTTATTTTTTTGGTTATTACTCCATGTTCCTCCAATATTAATACCCATGCATTATAATAATTCACATAGAATATGAAGAAGAATGCGATTAGTCATTTTGAAGTGAGTTATCTACTGTTAAATTGACATATAAAATTTATTTAACAATACACAAATACAAACTGATACTGTTTGGGAATGTGCTATGCGTTAAACATGACAATATAACTAGGCCCCAGGATCATGAAACTGTCTTAGACCTTAGGTTTTGCTAAGCCAATCACGTATGACGTCACTTTTTATGACATTGTCTATGATTGATCAAGTACAAACTTAAGGCAATTTAAGACTTAAGTTTATTTTATGATATCGAGGCCAGATCTAATAATATAAAAATGTCATAAGCACTAAGTATAATTGATTATTTAGATCCTCTAATCACTTCAATGTAATGGACGTGTGTAGAATAACGTCCATTACAAATCTATTAACCCCGCTGTAGTACCATGTTATAATCACTTGTAGATACTGTAGCACGCATTTACACCCATATGCAAATTATTAAGAAAAGCCAGATTGGGACACCAATTAACTTCATAATGACACGAAGCTGTGTAATTAGTAATGCTAAAAATTAAATGATGAAAAAAATCGATACAGCGTCATCGAACTATTTAAATACGATCCTAGGGATAAAACCACACCGTGACACCAATAAACTTCACTGAGCTGTGCCAACTCCTTAACCCATACACAGCGTCAAAAGCCTATTGTTACAATATATATACTGTCAGCTATGCTAATGATCTCGGCGGTTGATAGATAAGAAGGAAGGTTAACAAATTACGTGCTTTAGTGAAGAGAGAACAAGCGACCGCGCCTCACATACTGCCCTGCCATGATGAGGGTGTACCTGGTAGCCTTGTGTCTTGGTGAGTTGACAATTTCATTGTTTACGGAAATATTCATTCCAGTTTGGTATCGATTATTATTTATCAATAAACATTCTTTATTTATTGCTGATTTGAAATTAACAGTACTCCTCTAATTTTTTAAATTCATATAATTAAGGGGTTTTATGCACCTGTATCAATTGTAGCTCAGACCAATTTAATGTCCCACTGTTTTGGTCCCTTTACAACAGTAGGACGAAACAGCTGTTGGTGCAGTGTGCTTCCGTTTTGGCGTACTGTATCAATGGCGAATGTTTATAGCACACGTGTGTGTATCACGGTCGTCTTTAATCCGTTACGCTAATTATCCATCTTGTGAAAAGAAAATCAAATAATTGTACCTCATCAACAATTATGTCGGCTTTACATTGCAACGTCGATACATACATTAGTCTGCAAGATAGATGACATTAAAATTCCAGCATTTAAGTTTTTATCTTATTTACATGTTACTATAACGCTATTCCCATACATTTACGGAGCGTTCAATGCAAATGGATATTTTTGAAAGTTTAACTATATGCATTATATTAGATACGCTAAATGCAAAAAGAAAGAAGGAAAGATACATACGTGTATTAAACACAATCTTTCATCTTATACGCTCTTGAATTAAACATAAAATCTTAGACTTTGTATATTCAGATGATAAAAAATAAGTAAGATTGGACATTTAAGGGATACTTTGCACTATGGATATGACACTTGGTTGAAATAACGTGTATTGAAAAAAATGGTCAGATGTAAAATACCGGACAGAATCGGCACATAATCAGTCACTATTGATAACGTATACAGAAGTAAAGAAACATACTGATTCCTCATTTAAGTACATTAGTTTCCTGCTTCAACTCCTAATTTAGTCCTTCATTTATTAAGTACAAACTATGTAACTACTCATATGTCCCTCTATCTGAAAGTCTAATCGTAATTATCTAAATTAGGAAGGCATCATGATATTGATAACAGAAGCTATATAATTTGTGATAAATAACACCATGATGTCATTTTGGTTGTTCATGTCACAAAAAAAACCACCACTTCATGTGGTGTCATCATTAGTTGGAAGTTAATAGATTTGTATTCCATTATGTATACACAATGATTTGTTGGGATCATTCAACACTGTCACTGAGATTTTGTACATAATACAAACTTCAAAGCAGAAAAAATCGAGAACACTTCTCCTTCCGGAACACCTGGTCTCACTCTCCATTTGCTTTTCAAAGGTCCATATGTAAGCTTTTGGTTCTAAGGTTTAGTTGAAACTTCAGTGTTCTCTTGGTTTTTTTTGTCCACGAAACCATAACCATTATATTTTGTAAATCACTTTATTGAGGTATTGAAAATATATATTCTTCAATAAAAGCCGAATTTGATAAGGCGGCCTGGAGCATAAATGATAAATTAATAATAAAATTTTAGCGAGCAAAGTTTTTTATTTCTTTTTGCACAGATAATGTTTTACTGGTTAATATATTGCATTACCAGATTCTTAGTATTGTTTTTTGACAATAAAAATGTTTAAGTTAATTCGGCTTGTTTTATTTTCCAAGTTGATTTGATTTATCGATGTTGTTGCATGTGATTTATGCTTACTTATGACCTTTAAGATTAGTTGACACAGGATAATAATAAGTTTTTTCTGTTAGTTACTATTATAAATACTAATGCTAAGCTACTTAAAAATGATTAAAACTTAAACGATAGTGAAAATGGATTAGTCTCAAATGTATTAACATTCAATTAGGTTATACTTATTGAAAGTGTTCTTATATTATCGGGTTTTTTAATGTATTATGTAGCATTACATGAATATATTTTCATTTTGTTGGCATAGATATTGTATCTGTATATTTAATATTACACACAATTTTACATAATATAACATTCCACACAATCTTACAAAATGTTACCACCCAATCACGCACAAAGTAGCATTCCAAACAAGTTTACAATTTCTATTTTACACACAATCATACACAATGCAACACTCCACTCAATCCTACATAAGGCAACATTACAAACAATCTTACATCATGCAACATTACTCCCAATCTTACATAATGCAACATTATACGCAATCCTACATAATGTTACATTACACACAATCTTACATAATGCAACATTACTCACTATCCTACATAATGCTATATTATACACAATCCTACATAATGTTACATTACACACAAATTTTTTAGAAATGATATATTCATCAGAGTCTCAAAAGGCAGTTTGCCATATTTAATGCCAAATATATAAAACACTTTTTAAATATGTAATAATCAGTAGACAGACAACACTGGTACGTAACTGAACGTTCGTTATTACATCATCATGAACAGTTCACACATTAAAATAATGCCGTGTAATTAACGATTTATTAGTTTTGTCAAAAACATTTTAAACGTTCTTATCATACGACGTTTTCATAGCGTTGTTACATCACGTGAACAGGTTAAGAAGTCGTCAGTAGAACAACATGTACGAGTACAGACTGACAGACTATGTGATCCAACCCAAATTCTTGTTCAAGTGACAAATAAACAAAAGGAAACATTGTGTCCGTGATTTGGACGAATTTTGTAGAAACTTAAGGCAGAAAGCTATTTAAAATGTTTGCACTTTACGTTTTTACTGTGTGACATGGTTTAAGCGAATAGCGCGGAAGCTGGTTGAGCACAGAATACATGCTTGAGTATGAGAACAGTGTCATGAATACAGGTTCTGGTTCTAGCAACGGTCCTTAGCTGAAGTTCGCTTTGCTGAAACAAACTGCCATCTGAATAGGCTATTATATAATAAAATATGACCAATGCATTCCATATAGAAATACCGAAAAATATACTTTGGAAATGAATGTTGGACACACACTTGTGATTGCATCTTGAAAGTTTGGTAACAGATACAGTATGCAAAAAAAAAAGGATAAAACTTCACCTTTTTAACTTTCTTCCATAATGATTGATCACGATCACGACAGGTTATTTNTATTTTGCACATAAATTTACAATGGCATTGTCAAATCTCACAATGCCCAGCGATATTTCAGCAGCCGTCATGTTTATTTATATTGGATATTGTAGTTCCGGTCAGTGTTGTATTAATACGCTAAGAATTGTGTCTCGTGATGCATGGTAAATAAAGTCCCATCAACGACACAGCTTTCAAAGAGACTATATAGTGACAATGCCATGCAAATGTAAATATACTGAATTATACATTTCTGTTACAGTGCTAAGAGTGAATGGCCAGCCATTCCAATACATGCGGCCAGCACCGCCAGCGACTCAGCGATTTGTTAGTTTTCCGACCTTCAGCTCAAATCAGCCTATGAACATGTTAAATTCGCCAGTATTCAGATATATCTCCCGCCCACCAGGCATTACAAAACAGTTTCGAACATTTCAACCTGGCAACATGCAAGCATTTTCTCCGCTCGTTCAGCGTATTTCCACCTTTACTCCAGCGGCAGTAACGTTCCCAAATTCTCAGATTACCGGGCAATCATCACACATGCGACAGTTCGCTTCACATGGCTATCCGTTAGTTGGATCTAACACAAACCTAGGTTTCGGAGGAGTGAGTGCTAGAGCTTTACCACCAACTAGGAACGGCGGTACATGGAAGGTGGCCATACCAGCCAACTTCAGGTCGATGATAACAAGCGCCGCCAGTTCTATTGGACCAAGCCAGTCCGAGTCCTTATTTACAGGACAGGAAGGAACAGGTTCGACAAGCGAGAGTCAGTTCATTGGACAGGCTGGAGCAAGTATCGGGACAAGCGGCGACTTTACATCAAGAGGTTTTACAGATACTGGAATCGTACCTAATAACGGATTAACATCGGATCAGGTGTCAATATCAGGAAATGGTGTAGTTGACCAGTCAGGTTCAACAGGGTTAGCTGACGGCTTCTCCATAACTGATTTTACATCTTCATCTGCTAATAACATTAGGTCTGACGGCTTCTCCGGAACAGATATTGCACCTTCATCTGTCAATAACATTGGGTCTGACGATTTCTCCGGAATAGATAATACAGCTTCAGCTGTCAATAACATTAGTCCAGAAATCCAAGATGCCAATTACAGTATAAAAAGGAAAGGTAAGGATGTTACGTTTGTTGTTTAAATGAAACATAACGAAATAATTTGTTTTTAAGAATTGTTGTGTTTCATTTGTATTTCTTATCTTCAAGTACCATGTACTTTTGGTAGAATTATTTTCTATGAACATTTTAGCCAGCCAATGAACTCCGATTTAAGTTTAGTTTACCTGTCTGCCTGTCTGTTTATATTTAGTTAACAATGAATGTCTGTCGTTGGGTATATAAGGGTTTCAATCAATTACTCGTCATTTCATAACAGAATATACACATGTGGACATCGGTAACATAAACATAAAAATAAGTTTTAATTGTAAGAAGGACTATTTCAAAAATCCCAAAATGCGAAGACACCCAGCACAGCATTCCGCCTGGTCATATTATACTGACAACGGGTTTACCAGTGGTTGCCCTAAATGCTGAACGCAAAGCAGGGAATAGCAACTACCATTTGTAAGGACTTTGGTATGTCCCTGCCTGGGGACAAACCCTATTGCCTTCCTCACCTGGGCGAACGCTCAACATAAAAGCCAAAAGTGAAGTATTGCCAAACAAGGCGCTAGGAAATAAAAGGTAGATAGAAGTAAAATGAAAGATAAAGATCCGAAATATTGCGATGGGTGCAGCAGATTTGTTTCAGTTGCTTTTGTGTCCTCAATTAGAGGACACAAAAGCAAATCCTTAATTCTGCAGGAGGTTCCCACATTTATCGCTGCTTACGATACATGCAGTGGCTAACAGCAGGTGTATTCATTTCTCGATCTCCGATCTGCAGGAGTGCGTCTTCTTTTGCAATCATGTCATAATCCACGAAAATTATTCTTAGAGAAAAAATATATTTCGTTCCATGTTTATCTGATTTTCTGTTCAATTAACAGAAGAAAGTTTACACTCCCTACTTACTAATCATATATTCCACTGGATACAAGTTTGATGGGTCACACAGGGACCAACGCTACAGACTTGTTATTGATTTAATGAAAGGCTAAATGTCAATTTATGTATGATTTGGTGTGTAATAAGACACTCCCTCTATATATTTAATTTCATTCGATCAGTCATCCTACGGAGCAATACGTTTGTTTATATTGAGTGTACAATACATTATAATAAGGTATTTTAAAACAAAAGTAGTAATTATAAACAGATCATATTTCATAATGGTTAAATTTATTTCAATTTTTTGTTTTCATTGTAAACGCATGAAGACCAAAAGCTAACTCATCGCTTTAGTAACTAACTTCTAAGGTAGCCATATAAATATTGTTCTTACCATATAGTAGACGGGTCTTGGATGACGATTTGACATATCTTCCATTATGTTGAAAACAGGTTAAAAATATAGTCTGTCATAATGTTCGCATTATTGTTTTTCTCTTGTTGTATCTATATGTTGTTTTAATGTAAAAATGTGACGCATTAAACGTGAAACAAGAAAGATATCATCGTGGTACTTTGCTATGGGTCCTAACAAATCCAAATGTATATGACGTCATAATTGTGGAGATACAAAAAAAACACCAAATGCGATAAAAGTTGTATGAATACATATATACAGCGACCACATTGCACGAAATTAATACATTAAAAGGATAATTGTACTTTGATGTTTTTGGCATCTTACCATAACTGCAAATCATGCAATGATTGTGTATTTCAAATACTGATAGCTAATGAATCATAACCAATTTTAGATTGATTTATGGTTTTCCGGAAAGTATCTCTATTATTTCTGTAATTCAGATATCAAAGCTGACGGTAGAACAATACGATCAATCATTGATAGAGTAAATATCTATGCAAATGAATTAAAATCCTCCATAAATCAAGGTATATTTAATTTCTTTAGGGACTGTAAGGTAACTATTACATCGATCACGACCCTGGATGTATATAGAGCAGTTTTATAACCTTTGCGAGAAGCATATTATAAAGTGCGTAGAAACTGAAGAGCCGTGTTAATCAATAGCGCTAGTGTTCATTTGCTCTGTCGAATTAAAATTATATCAATAGAAATAAATATGATGATTATTGGAACTATGTGGTTGTTAATAAATATAGGTTTGTACAAGATTTATAGTGGGGAACACTATTATATGGCGCTAGTATTGAAAGGAAATATATTAGAATATGTCTCTTGAAGTAATACACAAGCAAGTGCATGTACGAAGTATATAATCAAACTCTTATAATCGTCAAAAAGAGATGAAAAAACTAATACTGAAACAATATAATCACGAATCTCAAATTAAACGGGAGGATAAATCAATACTTCTGAATAATACACATTTCTTGTATCTCGTATACAGACATTATTGCAGCAGGACAATATGCCATACAGTAGCAGCTTGGCAGGAGTAATTTCTAAAAATACTTGTTTTTTTCGAATAGTTACTTTTCCACTTCAATTCAATATCAGCTCGTCCTCTGCTCTAATGTTTGGACTTTGCACTTCTTACTCAAATGTCTAGAAAGGTTAGATAGTTGAGTAAATGACAAACGGACACTACAGTTTCTATCTCCGTGTACTGTTTCAGGAATATTTATGTTAATCAGAGAAAAGAAATTTTTGCAGGTCATTCTATTTTAAGAATTAGATTTGTAAAAAATTAGCACAGCCCTTTTAAATTTCAAGTGACGGTCTCTAGCACTTTTTCTGTTCAGGAATAGGGTCTGCAACAGGTTTTGCATCTTCGTCACTAGACGTCACTTCTACAATCGGTGTTGGGAAATAGTAACATACAATAAAAAAGTTTTATAGTGATGACTGGTCCAACATAGTTGTATTATTAGATATGTCAGGAACCATCTTGTGGTACTGTTATCTTTATTTATTCTCTAATTATGTTTGTTCCTAAAATAATTATTCTTCTATAAAGATCAAACAGTGGCGGCTTCGGCGTTTAAATGGTCTTCATCACTAGTCGGAACTCGGTATTCTCCGTAGATTTAATGGAAAATGTCAAATTTGTATTGTTCTTTATCTTTCTTAGCGAATTGCTATTTTAGTTTATTTGATAAAATATTTCATCATTGAAGGAACTAAAAAGATTGAAGCTTTTTGTTTCAGTTGGTTGATAAAGCGTACCAATGTTTTGACTTCATTTTTGCACGGATTATGACGTTTATTGAAGGTTTAATGATACGTTTCTTTTCTTTTAGAGAATCTCGGGGATTAATTAGCAAAAGACTTAAAGATAAAAACACAATTTACAAATAACTAGTAACACTGTCTTAACTTTTTATAATTATTGTCTCTGCTTTAATTTCCGGTAAACACGTTTGAATATAACACATACGATGATGTCACTTCACTGTATATTGATGTGACTTATTTGACTAGTACACGGATAGCTTCTGACAGGTATTTGTTCCCAATGAATCACCTCCTTTTTCATTTCCTGAACTGTTCATATATAGAACGTCGTTCTAGGACTGTGATCCGCGTCATGACTAGTGTAACCAATACTAATTTATAAGTAATGATATAATTACAGCCTCTCGCGGTTTCCAATTACACACACATGTACCTTAGTTATAACGACCTATCAACTTAACAAAACCAATGTATTACGTTAAGTTTTACTTCTCCTTTTTCATGTTCTTTGATTGATGAATTAATTGTAATTTGGTTATACATTAAGCATGTAATAAACGTCAAATGCGGCTCTGGCCCAATACGAAATAGCAATGGCTGAAAACGCATTTCCCGGGTTAATGTTTAGTGAATTTTCCAGATTCAAGAAGAAGGCATAGAAAAATAACAATCATATGTATATATATTTCTTTACTTATGGACATTTAGAGATTGTACAAAAAACATCATTTTCCTGTGATTTTATAGTTTGAATGAAAGGAAGCTGCTTATACATGGTCTCAAGTGTGAAAATCTAATTAGCAGTCACGCGGAGTATACCATAACTCACGTTAGTAGATCCATCAATCAAACTAGCAGGTATCAAATTGTTACTAATTAGGCGTCACGCTTTTCAGGCGTGAATTGTACCATGCAGAATGGACTTATGATAATGAGTATTTGTAATAAAGTGAAAACTACTTACCGGTGCATTTGTATTTAAAACGTGGTAAGTATTACGTCAACGTCATTACATGCATCAAAGAAATAACTTAGTTTATTCTGAACGCAGGCATATCTACTTCTAAATTAAGATAATAGTCCATATCTACCTCTAAATTAAGATAATAGTCCATATATACCTCTAAATTAAGCTAATAGTCCATATCTACCTCTAAATTAAGCAAATAGTCCATATCTACCTCTAAATTAAGATAATAGTCCATATCTACCTCTAAACTAAGATAATAGTCCATATCTACCTTTAAATTAAGATAATAGTCCATATCTATTTAATCATGATATATAAGAATGCCTTTGAAATGACGTCACTCCAATATTGTGAATTTCTTTTCATCACTTTCCCAAAATGTATCAATGTGGTTTTAAAAGTTATTAGATTTTGTGCTTGAATCAGGTTCTCAAGTAGGGGATTCCAGTTGCTAACAATTCGTTGAGTAAGTGAGTATTTCCTAACGTCCAGTCTGCTCCTTGACTTATCCAGACTGAGTGAATGTCCTGGAGTTTTTTTTATTGACAAAAGTCCATATGATGCTGATGTATCATAGACTCAATAATGGAATGGTATGTTCTGACAAAGTCTTTAATACCTGTAAAAAACAGAGTTTTCAGATACTATTTGATGGAACTTTCTACTTGCTTTAAGCTTACTTACAAGTAATATATAAGTCATTTGTATTGTTTTTTGTACAACGAAGTGACGAAAATGAAAACTGTGTTTGTGGCACGACTACCAGTGTACATCATTGTACATGTATACAATACATATCACTCATTCAGTCATAGCCTGACAAAGGGACCCGTAGGCCTTAACATCCTGCGACACGTTTGATACATACATTTGTTCAGTATTTGACAAATACATATTTACAAACAAAGGAGACAGGAATCGTATTTTATGATTGTTCTTGTTTTGTTGTAAAAATAGCCGGTACGTGATGACTTTTATTTGTGACTAGTATCTGTATGTTTTAACTACCTATTGTTTAAACATCTTTTGAACTGTTTTTGTGGTTCGTCTTTCGTTTGTTGTGATTATAATTATTTCTATTGTTTTCTTATATGGATGTGAATTTATTGGCAAGAAGTATATGTAGATTTGGCATATAAACCTTAATGTATCAAGCTAACCTTACAACCACCTGTCTTTCGAAATTATCTGCCTGCATGTAACATTTCTAAAACATCATTGAATTGCCTTTATAAATAACAATAGCCTTCCTATAAGCTGTTTTATAGTAATGAGAACAAATATCCTCTTAATTGATGACACTGTTCAACAATTCAGCTTCCAGCGCAACGGAAAGCAAAGCAAGGAAACGATTAGAGTTGAAAATGAAGCTAGAAAGATTGAAGGAAGAAAGGGCTGCAAAAAAGGCGGCAAAGAGAGCAGCAAGAAAGGCTGCTAAGAAAGCAAAGCACTCGACTTCAAGAGTTGCAACAGCATCAACAATACTTGGACCATCCAGCAATCGTCGTATGTGATTTGGTTTTATCTTTGTCAATGTATACATTTATTTCACCGATACTTAACAGATTAAGATATTTGAATAATACCCAAATAAGACACACACTGTGGATGTTTATAATAAAGATAATTGAAAACTAATCTATATCAATTACAAGTACTTACATGTGTATTTAAGAATACATGGAAATATGACAAACAACTCATGAATAATAAAAAAAATGAACAACTTATTATGTGGTCATATCAGATAAGTCAGTATAACCTATTCAAAGAATAATAATAATTGAACAACATCTGTATTAAGTAACTATATGCATAATTATTACTATTTCTTTCTCTCTTAGATGGTCATACATCCTTCACTCAATCCAGTTCCACTTTTTCGTCCAAAGACATCAGTTCATTGAGGAGTAAGCTGAAAAGTGGAGGTACTTATAATGGAATATCTACTGGCCTCTATAAATAGTTTTGCCTTTGTTGTATCAAGGGTGGAATTCTGGAAAAAGACAACCTAGTTTGATATAATTTATCAAATGTAGTGTTTGCCATAATGCTATTTTTAATATTTATAAGAATATATACACAATATATTTACATCAATACTAATACAGAAATCAGTTTTCTTTTACGACTGCAGTTTCAATTCGAGATATTTGCATTAGTTATTGGAAATCTGAAAGAATACAATTGACTTTTTTTCCTTTTTTTAATTTCCAGATTAAAGATTTAATAGGCTAACGACCATCGTATCATGAGTATAAGGTTTCTATGTAATTATTGAAATATCGATGATCAATGATTTAAGATTTTACTGCTGCACCTTCGATGTCTAATACACATGAGAACTGTTCTCGGATCTAATTTGTTTAGAGATACAACTTACCCCACAAGTCCTTGCAAACCTCATGTCACTTGGAAAGAGTTACGGGCTGGATGCTAAAACAACCCAAGAAATAATAACTGACCTCATCAAGTCCATGAAAGGTAGGAGATACACTCTAAACTCGACGAGTTTGTTCACGCGTAGTACTTATACTCCAGCGGAGGATCGGTGTCTGAAGAACCCAGCAGCAAGTATATAATCTATAAAATCAGTGTATAATTAATGAGTGTCTCTATTGCCCTACAATATGTTATAACCGGAACAAGTGCGCATTCATTATCAACACCTTTCTCATTGACCTTGGTTCGGTAATAGCTGTAACAAGTACAAAATCATTTTCTACCGCCCTTCACATGTGTGTCTCTCGTTTTAGCCGGTAACGATCAGCTTGTCACCCCTGGGGGGAGATAATCTCGTGCCGATTAGCACGTGTTCAATTGTGACGTCATTAACATGCGTCACCTGTAATTTTGACGTCATCAAAAGTGAATGACGATATTCATACCCCACATGTGTTTTTGTTTACGCTATTGTCGGTGGAGTTGTGACTGAAATAATAGGATAGTAAATAAACAATCATCCCCTACCTTGAGCAGAGCCTCGGGTTAGACAACCAAAAAACATCACCCCTCGTGTTGGAGATTTCTCTATCACACCATTAAGGTAGGGACAGATTCTATTAATCAACACCTTTCTCATTGTCCTTTACTTGCTTTGTTGATATAATTAAGACATATCAAGAAATTCCCTTTCTGTTTCCCTAGTGGTTTAAACCAATAACACCACCGATGAATCCTAGAAGGGTTGAACAGATGTATGGTGGAGCTTAGTTGATTGATCTTTGGCATACAGTATCTATTACCAAATGTCATAGGTGCAAATCACATTTGTCTTCCGTTCACCTCTTAACACCGTTCGGTATTCCAGTTTTAAATGTCTTGATTGTTTTGTGTTAAAATACTTTTCATACGTTGGTTAAATAAAAATACTGTCAATAACTTCCACTATATTGACAGTACATTAAATATATTATTTTTGGAATATTGAAAAACACTCGATTTGAGCAATAATTTTCCATATTTGTTCTTTAATAATCTTTGTTTTTTTCTCTCTCTTCAATTTAGTAAGTAAAGATTGCGTGTAGTATATTTCTAGATATGATTATTAATTAATTAATTATTTTTATTAATTAAAAATGTCAGCATGCAAGTTTGAAAAAAATATTTATAACCTTGTTATCTTTCTTTTTTCAAGCTGGGACTTTTAATATCCGCAGTTCGGGATTTAATGCCGAAGAGGCATCATCGTTCAAACAACTACATGAGAAGTCCCTGTTACTGCTTGCCTCTATAGCCGCACATGACGCCCAGTCACGTAAATACCTAGCTAGTTACTGTATAAATTCTAATATTTGCGGGGATGTAAGATCGCATTTTTCGCGGTCACCAATGATAGCGCGAAATTTAATACCCAGCAATTATCAATTCCATGACTTATAATAAGTGGACATCTTTAAGCAGACATCATGGTTTTGGCTTACTAATTATCTTACTTTGACATGATACTCGTCTCGATCCAATCACCCTAGAAGAAAGTATTCTCGAGAGCGCGTATACCGTAACTGGCAATGTTGTGCAACATTTAATGACAGATAGCTAGTATTGATTAGGATATCCGTGAAATATTAGCCACGCAAGTATTTTTAACTATATAGTATACTAACATGGAACATTTACCTAGCGTTATATTAAGACGTTTTTGAATGCAAATGTGATAAATGGCTTGTAAAGAATTTTATACAGATTAGCTTCCAATATATAGAAAGTGTATGAAATGAGTTTTAGAGTTCTTTTAATGCAAGACATACGCGAGTTTTATTGAAAGAATCATTTATTTTATTGATATGATTAAAGGTTTCCTTTTATCTGTGAATGACAAAGTATGCACGGTACCTATCCTGTAACATTATACTGCTAGCCAGCTAAACCAATATGCTTTGGGAGACATCACCAAAAATAACATAGTAAATGTGAACGGAGAAAAATACATATGTCCCTATTTTTCGAATTATGAGCAGTAGAATAGTTATGTTCTCTTCGGTGACCTTGGTAATAGGTCATAGTATAGAAATCTTCTGATTTTCTTGTCTCCGACATGATTAGCCTGTTACGATGATGAAGTGAAATACAGTACGTCATTCATTACATATGACTCTACGCGCCTGCACAAAAAATTAAAATGAATTTACTGTTATTGATTACATAACATTGTTACTTTATTATGAACAGGAACTGGCCACACCTATGCTAGTTATTCTGTTGGAATATTATGACTTGATCACGCTTATGCAATCTACATTGTTGTGTGTATGCTAAGTGTATACACTGCTAGCTAGTCTACGTGTTTAATAGTTGTAGGGGTAATATATTACGTGGTTCGAATATGAATTGATTTCATTAAACCACAAGTTTGCATATTCTAGCCAAATAAATTGTGGTTGCTTAACATTTGCAGTGATTGATGCATTATGCACTCAGTGAAAATTGCGGTGTAGATCAATTAACTGTCAAAGTTTAAGAGCATCTTATCATTTTCAAAGACAAGACACATGTTTAATACTAAATGTAGAAGAATATGATATCGTGACGAGAACAAAACCCCAGGTTAAAACAGTGTTCTCTAGTGGAATTACAGAATTAATTTTATAAATGTGAGTTCATGCATGTGTTTTGATTAAAGGGCGGATCGCCTGTACAATTTGACAAATACCATTTGTCTGCACAGTCGCTATACCTTATTTGCTTAAGTATAGTATACTTATCATATTAATCATATTGATTAAATCATTATATAACTCTTTATCAAAAAATGATTAACGTTATCCATGTTTTCACCAAAACAAAATCAAACTGGAGCACGAGATAACAAACAATATCAGCTATTTTTATCGCGGAACAAGAAGTTCAGTAAAAGCATGGGAGGTAATTTAAGGAGAAGTACTAATAGACTCATATTCAAAAGTAAAGCGTGACTCATTTGCCTTTTTAAACATTTACGGCGCAAACCAATTAGTCTACATGCAATGACACGTTCATAAATATTCAAAGCAGGATTGCATTGTCCTCAGCTCATTCAATATTCCCACATAAATTTATATATAAAAAGATCAGGGTATCATAAAATATGACAGAATGATGTATCACGAGAGGATGCCTCTGCACGAGCACATAAATATAAATATAAATAATATAAATATTATATTTTAGTCATTATACTTATCAATTGACAAAATGAACACGTAAAATATGTAAATATAAATGGAGAGTTAGGTTTGATAAGTTAATGTAAAATGTATGCTTGAGGAATGTCAATCCCGGTTCAAATACGATACAATTTTACAAACATTGTATAGATTTGGATGTTAAATAAAAGTTCCAAAAAGTCATTGATTGAACTGAAAGATAACCTCAGTACAAAACAGATTCAAATAAAAATGTTATATAGCATATACTATTAAAACCTTTTTTAGTTTTTATGATTGACATATAGCATATAATATTTAAATGTGTACCTAAGTTTATTTTTTACAACGATTTTTATGATGTTCAGTTTTAGGTATATAACTATTCATTGAAAAAATCACTTGATTTTCCGTGCAAATATATAAATACCGTTATTTGAAATAGTGGTTTTACCGGCCTTACCAATCAGTACGTGATGCAATTACTGATACATCTTTATAAACAAACATATTAATTTAATAAATGTTTCAATTGCCTGTTAGTTTGAGCTGGGTTTAAACAAATATTGTAATCACGCCATTCATTTTGATGACGCAAACAACATGTGCATTATTTATATCCAGTGATATACAACATGACTATGTTCGGTTTCTTTTAGAATGTTTTCTGGTAAATAAATCAATGGTCACTGAGCTGTATTTCACAGCCTATTTTCAATTCCGATTCGATACTGGTAGATTAACAATTACTACATCTTTTTTATTTAACACCATTGTTTAGCACACCATCCGTGTAGTGTTTATAGCAATATCTTCGAATTCGATTTCCATTAGCTGTGTTTGTGCAGTACAACATAATATTTATTGAGCATTCGCAAAAATAAGACATTCAATAAGAAAAGTAGAATAGAAAATAAGTTTGATCACTAACCTTATTTACTTACCCTTGCCTCGAACAAACAATAAATATTTAACATTTAATTCTTATGATATAATGTTTACTTTCCAGAACCTTCCTCATCGACATCACATTCTTTAAGAAGCACGAACCACCAATCAAGAGGTACACAAGGTAAGACTAACAGAGGATGATGAAAACCTAGCGGGGACATAAAGAGATATATGTGACAGTTTCCTGTAAAGAAACATAAAATTTGAGCACGCGAGATTTGACACTGATAAAAACCTCGAACATTTTATTTTCTAAAGAAATAATTCATCATTTTTTTTTTACATTTTTAAAGTTAAATAACGAAAACTTTTCCATAATAGGAAAGTGTTAGTTTTATTAGCATATTACCTCGCGACACATTTTATACGGTTCATAACCAGGACGTGAGCCATTTTGAACAAGCTCTTCACGCAGTTGTTCTGTTTTTAACTATTATGTTATTTGATTGGTTTGTAAATAAGTTATCAAATGAGCAGTTGTATAAATACCCTTATATATTTACGACACTAGTTTGAAAAACAAATGTTTATTCCTTTTCTTCTGCAACTTACATATAATCAAGTGGATTAGTTGTGGAAAGAAATTATTGTACTGCTTGTTTTCAGTATAAAGCGATATATTTCACCGAATAAAAGATAACACTATGATATCTGTCATTGCGTGGAAAAAAATAAAAGTAGAAATTAATTCTGTTTTACATCACTTCCGAAAATATTTGCATGATCCCGTTTTTATTCCATTTCATAACCATACACATAGGAATTATTCAAAATTATCCATGTTGAATCATTCAAAACTGGAGTTTGCTACAAACGTGTCAAGCAAAGCTAGATCCACGTAAAATGTATATACATATTATGTTGGGATACCGTTGATCTGAAGACGAGGCCCAAAAGGGCACGAGTCAAAAAGTCCTTCGTCATTTGTGTTTTCATGTCACTTCTGCATGATATAAAAATGAGTCATTTTTGTTTATTAGAAAACATATATATAACAAAGGTATTTCAATATCTTATATAAATAACATCAATCCGAAATCATGTGTTGTAAGTATCATGCTAGGATTACATGTTTTTATTCAGATATAAATAAACTATATTTTGCCAAATTGTGGAATACAATTTTACATACGTAGTTTTTGGATTTCACCTTGAATGCATCCTAAGTTAATTTTACTGTATTTTTTCCCTTGTTGGTGTTTCGTATGATGCATTAAGAAATGACTTATATGTGGTACTAATTGTGTTGTCATATTTGTATGGTAATTGAATCGGTGTGACTCTATCTGTTACCTTTATATCACTAGACCCCGGATATACAACCATGGTTTAGATATTCCTAGAGATCCATACAGTAAAATATCCAGCAGGGTTAGACTGGGAATCGAACCCCTGACTTATACTGTTATACTCTCGCTATAACCGATTGCTTTACCGGATCAACGGAAGTGTACTAGCCAAATATGTGCTACAGTTATATCCAAACGGAAGACAAGGGGATGTTACGCTATAAAGAGACAGCGGCGTCGCAGTGGGGAAGGGATCCTTGACTCGAGAAATATCTGAACTTCACTAAGCATGGTTGTATAATCGAGGCCAAAACATTTACTGATATCATCTGTTTGCTCTTGTTCATGTATATGTTTCTTTTTTCATGTGTCCATTTTACAAAATTTCGGTAGCATGATTTGCTTTGGTAGTTGCAATGCACTGCACAGTTGCTTCGCAAATTTGTTTCGTTATGAAAATATATGTCATTTTGTATAAATTATTGCATTTATGTTTTTGTCTATACTGTTGCTGATGTTTATATTTCAAGTGTTCTTAAGTAAGTATTTATTGTTGACGAAAATGTACGTTATTTTGTATCACTTTATGAGTCACGAACTTGGTTTAAAGTGAAACAGTGTAATACGTAACTACATGAATACAAATGTAATTTAAAATGAATTCACTAGGATTGTTGTAAAGAGCTACAGAAACGTAGTGTGCTTTATTATTAGAACAATTACATTGTGATTAATTCATTTGTTTTTGTGAGTACAGAATCAGTTTTGTGTACAAATATAGATAAAGTATGTTTCAATGTGATGGCAAATAGTCAAATAACTAACAATATACAAATAATATATTTCAGATTTGTGGAATTAGTAAATGTAAGACGGATAATCATTAAAATCTAATCGGTTTTATTTCTCTTATGGATGTACAAATAAATAAAGACATGTGTGTTTGCATGTGTTGATGGATAGTCTAGCCATGGAGAACGATCAATTCAGATATTTACATTTACATGTATGCTAGAAATATTTGCATGTGTATTTGTGAGTTTCGCTGAGCGGTCAACTTCTTGCAAACTGATCAATGGATATTGTTTACCGCACCACAAACTAACATAAATAGCATGAGAGATTTTTTTAAATAGGTGGCAATACCAACAACTTTATAAATATTCTGATGGGACTTGGATCACAGAACGGGAACAGTCAACGTTCCTCTTCTTTCGGTAAATATGACACATCGATATTGTTTCTTGTCTGTACAACCAGATATGCTTGAAGCATGCCTTAATTAACCGACTTCTGACATCCGCTATGGATACCTCAGTAAGATATACCGCCACAGTTCTTTTGAGAATTTGCAATACCGTAACTCCTCAATTATTTAAAGTAATAACATACAATTCAATGAGTATCCATCATTTACACTATCAAAACTTTAGGGTTGTATTAGGCCTAGCGGTAGTGTATATATTGAGTTTTTGCAGAAAAAGAAAATTGCGAATTTTATATGACTCCGAAAATTCTTATTACAAAAAAAATAAAAATAACAACAACATATATTACGATATGTAGAACAAATTAATAAAGTTTATAATGACGTTAATATATTGTATTGTTTGATAAATATTCATAGAATTTATTAGCCACTTGTGTTTAAAATACAATGTATGGGAACACTTTGCAATCAATCAAAACAGAAGTTAGACGAGGTACAAAAGGAGATAGACGCGGTACACTCGTAGATAAGCGAGTTATAATAGTAGGTGGGCGAGGTACAACAGTAGGTAGGCAAGCTACAGCAGTACGTAGACGAGGTACATCAGAAAGTAGGCGTGATATAAAAGGATATAGACAAGCTACAAGAGTAGGTGGGCGAGGTACAACAGGAGGTAGGCAAGCTACAGCAGAACTTAGACGAGGTACAACAGTAAGTAGAGTTCAACCTGAGGTAGACCAGGTCGATAGTGGAAAGGCGAGATACACCATTAGGTAGACGAACTCGATAGTAGATAGGCGATGTGCAACAGGCAGTAGGCAATCTACAACAGTTGGAAAGCGGGGCACAACGGTAGGTAGGCGAGTTACAACAATTGATAGGCGAGGTGCAACGGTATGGAGGCAAGTTACAGCTGCAGGTACAATGTAGATGCACAACAGTAAATAGGCGATGCACAACAGTTGATAGGCGATATGCAATAGTTAATATGCGAGGAACAACTGTTTGTAGACGAGGTACAACAGAGGTGGTCAATTAATTTTCAAGCACCTCTAAAAATAAACATGTTGGATTTTTTTTTTATTGTTTCCAGTATTCGTAGCCAACATATTTTACATCTCAGTGAAGCGATTTGACAACATTAGAACATAAATGATTCTTTCTTGAATGTTATTCTTTAAGAACATGATTAGGGATAAAACAACTATATTATATTGATATATCCAGTTAAACAATCTGAAATATTTGAAATCGATAGCTTAGATAAAATAACATAAAAAACGACGAGATTGCATTGTTTTTTTTTCTATCCACGAGCAAGTAAAATTTGATGATATTGTCGTATAAAGGCACAAGACAAATTGATTGTGGACCACATTCCTACAATAAATAAATCGAATGTGAATAGCAATATATGTCTAGCATAAACATAATGTTGGGGATTACGATGAAAAAGTATTGAAATTCTTTCTGTGAATGTATTGCTAGGCTCATCTGGAATGAATGCAGAGGTTATTGCTCTCCTGTCACAGATGCAACAGTCATCTGTCAATCCAGCAGTCGGGTCGGTACAAGGTACATATCAAGATTATTTTTAAAGCCTTAAAAATGTGATTCGCTAGGACTAAAGTTATCGAATTTAGTAAGACGAAAGATACGGTATTAAAGCATCAGCATCGATGTTCAAAATTCAAAAAGTGGTTCTGACATACTAAATACAAAAACAAAAACATGATAGTTTTGTAGATATGATCCAAATGTTAAGAAAACTTATATGAACATTAATTATTGTTAATGTAAAAGTGTAAAGCGGTGCTCAAAAATGTCTAAGTTTTATATTATGTGTTATAATATATAACATTAATATCAATAGTACAGCCATGATTTCAATGACATAATGTTATGCTTATGTAATCAGATTCAAGACAGAATGAGCTTATCGCTCTTCTCAAACAACTGCAAATGTCCCAAGCTGGTTTAAGTACCGGGAGCGGTTCAACACTGGGTAAATATATAACTTGTTGTGCTAGAAAAATAAGAGCGGATATTTCATCTTTTCTGAGGAATATTTTCGAAGTAGAAGTTTCGAAAAGTGGCTTTAATTTGTATTATTTGACCTTTTCGCGGTATTTAAATGTTTTGTTTACAATATTTCTGCACTATAGTTCTCATAGTAATATTTCATAATATTTATGAGTGCTTATACCTGATTATATAATAAACATTATTTTATTAGATACATTATATTTTTTGTTGTAACTAGATTTATGATACGTTTATGACTCTATATTGAAATTTCACTTTAAACTTCTAGATGTACGAATTGGCTTTTTATTTCTCAGGGTCGGCTGGTGAGACTGCTGATATCCAATCTCTCCTTAATCAACTAGCTGGCGCCACTCAAGTAACCAGTTCGGCGCAAGGTAAATGCATCAGTAGAAATAGAAATATACTTACATTGTATTACATTTAAGGGAAACAATGATTTAGAAATCAAAATACCAAATGCCTTTGGCTTCATGTTTTGAATTATTATTATTATTACTTTTTTATTGACACTTCTTTGTGTTTCTATTTTATGGTTTATTCACTCTGTCCATCTTTTATTCTCTTATTCATTCTCTCTCTTTCTACTCAACTGCTCTTACATTCATTTCTATTTCAATTTGCAAAAAATGTTGGTAAGTTATTCAGCAATTGTTGATATCATTTAACACCTTCAATTGCATAAATTATAAACCTAAATTTTTGCTTCAAAATATGCTGTGTGAAGTCAGCAATCTCATAATCGTCATCAAAGTTATTATCTATTTTTATTTCAATATGTGCCACTTTGTAGTTAAGACAAACAGATTAATTATTGCATTAAATTCCTGGTTTAGATTACAGCTTCCTAACATAACAACTTTCTCAGTTATTTGGTATATTTCATTTGAATTTGATATCTCCTGTAAGGCTTTGTTTACTAATGACTCAACTGTCTTCCAAATTTCTATTATTTTATTACATCTATAGAATAAGTGAATTTGAGTTTCGTGAACTAATTGACAAGTGTACCTAAACCGTGTGACAGTCTCATTTTAAATAATTTGGCCTGCGGAGAAATAATATTATGTAAGCATTTCCATTGAAAGTCGTTACATTTCCTGTTTGCTATAGATGAGTTTAAAGAAATCTAAATTTTAACCCAATCTATTTCATCAATATGATATACAGCATCCCAGTTGTGTTGTGAATTGGGATAATAGTTCTTATTCAAAACTAGCTCTTTCAATATTTTGTTCTTCAACCTATTCGGATCTATTACTTTATCGTTTTTATTTGTTTTAATGCGAAGTTTATCATTTACAACTATGGATTCAATTTCTGGAATCTTAGGTTAATTGATTTTAGTTCTAATAACCAATTGTTACATGAAGAAATTGCCTTCTTGACTATGGAGAATTCTGATATCAAACTATCCTTGAATCGCGACTTCTCCAATAATTATTCAGAATTTATGAAATTATTTCTATCTTCACTCAAATATTTATTATAAATTTTAAAAACAAATCAGGCAGCTTTGTGTACAAGAATAAAAAAGTGTTTAGGAATACATTTCTGCTGTATGGACATATATTATAACATGATATTGACGATGTTCCTCGTTACAGTTTATTGTCGTAGCAAGATATATTATGTTGTATGATCGTACTATTCTTAAATGAATGGGTACACACATATTATATTATATGATCGTGATGTTGTTATATGAACGGGTAGTAATATATCATATTGTATGATCGTGATTTTTAATTTGAATGGGTATACATGTATTGATTTGTATAATCGTAGTATGTCAATGTGAAGGGGTAACAAGTTCAATTTGTATGATGATAGCATTTTGATTTTGATTTGATTTTAGTGATTGTTATTTGTGAAAGAACAAATGTTTCTGTCATAAACTAACCCTGCTTATTCTATGATATAATATTGACACATTTTGCTGACACATTCAAAACCACAAATAACCGTTAAATTTTAATTATCAACGTATTATATTAATTATGTATAAATAGGGGATCTGTCATGAGTTTCCCTTCATATTAGAATTATAATACAAGTTTGGGATTTTTCATATTTACGAGCCTCTGGAGAGAAAATATAAAAATCCAAAACGAGTATCATCGCTTCAAAATGACGTGACGTCACATTGATTGTTCCTATTTGATTGTGACGTAATTGATGTGATGGTTTTATGACACTGCATAACGCGATATTCATATGATAAATCAATGTCTTGACCTTTAATCAAAATAAATGTAAGTATCAATGCTCATATAACAAAATACACACGCCGTTTCATTGACATAGATAATTTAAAACATAATGACAAGTAGGTTAAATCATATCTATAACTCCCAATAAGCATGACGACGAACGCTTAAGTTGGAATTGCTTTGTAATTATTTGAATGACAAAGTAAACTTATAAATATTCATATTTCACAGGTTCAGCTGGAGAAAATAGCGATTTAGCAGCACTTCTCGGAGTGCTACAAAGGTCTCAATCTGGTACCAGCATCAGAGCAGATGCGGCAAAAGGTCAATATACAACCATTCATTTTAATCTTTCAAAAGAAAAGTGTTTTACCGAATGCCATTACATTTCTTTTGACTAACGATTATTAGATAAATCATCACCTTTCTGTTTTCTTTCTAAGCATTTTATATTGTGTCCGAAAGCTTGTTTAATGATAATTCCAGTTTCCTCCTCAAAGAATGGCGACGCCAAAACTATATTTTATAAGACATTACAAATAAGTGTGCAGTTGCATTTGTTTGCTAATGTCGTGACCAGATAATGAACCAAACAAGTGCTTACTTCGTGGTCTTCTCGTTGTGATACCACAGCGTGTTTAACCAATTATGGTTTAGATTAGCACCCATGACGTTATGTCTGTTACTCTCGCAGGTATCTGGGAACAGCAAGTACTAACCGATTTATTGAGCAGAACTGGGCAAGAAACGGGCATCAATGACCATCAGCATATCACAAATAGCCAACTCAACAGCAACGGTAGGCAACAACCGTCGGACATTAATGGCCACGGATCAGTGCAAGGTAAATATTAACTGACTTTGTATAGATGTTAGTTCTTAGAGTTAGCGAATTTGTTCCAGGAACAAATTCGCCAATTCAGAAGCACTACACAGCAAACCTTGAAGGAGGAATGTACCAGATAGGTCGGCAACGTTGCATCTGATTATCATAGCAATTTCATCTCTCTGTCAACAAACAGTTTAACCCTAGGTCTAGTAATTTGTCATCTCTCTGTCAACAAACATTTTAACCCTAGGTCAAGTAATTTGTCATCTCTCTGTCAACAAACATTTTAACCCTAGGTCTAGTAATTTGTCATTTTGAAGCAGCTTCTACCACCTCGAATATCGTGAGCCAAACATTAAAAGGAAATAGTTTGGAAAACAGAGAATACCTATATTAAGATAAATAATAACTTTACAATTTAGAATGTTGTTATATGTATTGAATAGCACTTTTCACTGTTTATGCTGATAAGAACGCATATCGGGTACATATATTAATCGGGTTTCATAAAATGAACATGTAACCGACTTGTGATCGTAACTTCATGAATATTGAAATATATCCGTTCAATGTATATTTATATATCCCACAATCCACTAAAGATCTCCAGTCCAACCTCAAACTTCTAGCCCTACAGGAAACGACAGCACAGAAAGATTTGACATGTTTAAGGAAACATAGTTTTTCGACTTCCGAACTAAACATTAGTGTGAAGGACACTAGACACAACAAAACAAGTTTCTGTCGCATAGTCAAGTCCATCGAGGTGTACAAATTAGTATTAAGCAAGTGATCTTGTGGTGATAACGAGTACTGTTTTAGAAAGGGGAATTGCATTTGACTTATCTAAGCTAAGTTTACTATTTTTGTGGTATATATTTTGTTATGATAATAAAAGAACTGGTAAAAACATAATATGCTTTGGAAGATTGCAAATTTGACCCTTTAGAACAACTGCGAATTAAAATGCTCATGAGTATGGCCATACCGTTTATCACAATACAACTACCTATTTCTTAAAACAATTGATCGATCCTGAGATCCATGCATGACATTATGGCAATCCATATGATACAAGATGATGTTTTAAATGAAAATATATTACTGGTTATTCTTATTTTGTATCATATATTAGCATCATTAGTTGATGGTAGCTTCAGTTTATTTAGACATTGTTACTGTTATATATTGTGTTCGCTTTATAAAGTTTGTTGCAACGAAATATTTACACTCAACTCATGTTTGGAAACCTGGAAAATTGCAGGGAATTTATATTTCACCATAAACATCTCAATTAAATATCTAATCGGAAAAGAATTGTGATCCTTTATATTTGAATGAGATAAAAAAAAATACGATCGTGAATATTTCAAACCGATCAACTCTTTCTTCACCATACTTAATTGTTTTATTATTTCATTTACCTAGGATCGTGGTCATCAACATCATCGTCTTCATTAAATTCTGGAAGTACAACAGGTGGCTCTGCAGGAACTGCGCAAGTTCCTGACCTAGGTTTTCAAAAAGGTCAGTCAATGAACTCAGCGGATTATATTGTCATGTGTTTGATCAGGATTGAATATCTCAATAATTCAATCAAGCGAAACGGTGAACCGCAATACTACATATAAGGCCAAAAGCAAGGATGCAATTAACTTTAATCATGCACGTTCAACAAGACACATTCTAAACCTCATTTTTCAAATGATCAAATCTCTTGCTAAGTTAAAACTTTGACCAATCGTTTGCCATTAAATGTGCAGATATTGTTACTGATCAATTTGTCCCTCAGTTTTAGAAAAGGCATCGAATTTTGTTTCACAATTACAACAACAGTCTGTGGCCTTACTACGAACATCTCTTCCCAATTTATAAAAAAAAGGAAAATCTTGAAAATTCTCCTTTGCAATAGCTTAAACGAACGTGCCCATTAATACAAAAACACCGGTTTATAAATAGCCCAAAGTTAACCTGCATATTAAGAATAATTGGGCATATTTTCATTGTAATATAATAATTATCGTTGACAAATACAATGCTACTGTACCAACATACACACCTGGGCAGTTTTTAATGTAAATATTTAGCGTTGGCGACATCTTGGTAACATCTTACTGTAATATAAAACTACATTGATGGCGTAACAATCGTATTGTAAGAAGACGAGGGTTTGAATAAAAAAATTATCATATTTATTGGTTTATCATTTGACTAGCCAATATTAACACTTTGCAGGTTCTTCTGACGTCGGTGGGGATCTTTCAGCTCTTCTCACACAGCTACAATTGACCCAGACTGGGACCAGTTCAACACAAGGTAAGTATAGGTATACATCCATGTAAGGTAGAGATAATTTGAAACAAAATGTAGCAATTATCATTTAAGCTTACAAAATTTAAACAGTAATGTAATCAATTAAGGATTGAGATAAGGGTTTTATGTTAAAGTCTGTAACTTTGGTTAAGCGTGATCGCAACGGCTATGGTCTCAACTTGGCGTTTCTATAACTTTAGGCGGCACTAATGAACATCAGCATATCACAAATAGCCAACTCACCAGCAACGGTAGGCAACAACCGTCGGACATCAATGGACATGGATCAGTGCAAGGTAAATATTAACTGACTATGTATAGATGTTAGTATAGGTATAACCAAGGTAGTAGTTCGAGCAAATAAGAGTTAGCGAATTTGTTCCAGGAAAAAATTCGCCAATTCAAAAGCACTACACAGCAAAGCTTTAAGGAGGAATGTACCAGATAGGTTGGCAATGTTGCATCTGATAATCATAGCAATTTCATCTCTCTGTCAACAAATATATTAACCCCAGGTCTAGTAATTTGTCATCTCTCTGTCAACAAACATATTAACTCCAGGTTTAGTAATTTGTCATTTTGAAGCAGCTTCTACCGCTTCGAATATCGTGAGCAAAACATTAAAAGGAAATAGTTTGGAAAATCAGAGAATACCTTTATTGAAATAAATAATAACTTTAAAATGTAGAATGTTGTTATATGTATTGAATAGCATTTTTCACTGTTTATGCTAATAAGAACGCAAATCGGGTAAATATGATAATCGGGTTTCATAAAATGAACATGTAACCGACTTGTGATCGTAACTTCATAAATATTGAAAATAAATCCGTTCAATGTATATATATTTATCCCACAATCCACTAAAGATCTCCAATCCAACCTCAAACTTCTAGCCCTTCAGGAAACGACAGCACAGACAGATTTGATATGTTTAAGGAAACCGATTTTTTCGACTTCCGAACTAAACATTGGTGTGAAGGACACGAGATACAACAAAACAAGTTTACTATTTTTGTGGTATATAATTTGATATGATAATAAAAAAATGGAAAAAAAATTAATATGCTTTGGAAGATTGCAAATTTGACCCCTTAGAACAACTGCGAATTAAAATGCTTATGAGTATGGCCATACCGTTTATCACAATACAACTACCTATTTCTTAAAACAATTGATAGATCCTGAGATCCATGCATGGCATTATGGCAATCAATATGAAACAAGATGATGTTTTAAATGAAAATACACTACTGAATATTAATATTTTGTATCATATATTAGCATAATTAGTTGATGGTTGCTTCAGTTTATTTAGACATTGTTACTGTTATATTATTGTGTTCGTTCTATGAAGTGTGTTTTAACGAAATATTTACACTCAACTCATGTTTCGAAACCTGGAAAATTGCAGGGAATTTAGATTTCACCAAAAACATCACAATTAAGTATCTAATCGGAAAGGATTGTGATCCTGTATATTTGAATGAGATAAAAAAAATAAGATCATGAATATTTCGAACCGATCTACTCTTTCCTCACCATACTTAATTGTTTTATTATTTCATTTACCTAGGATCGTGGTCATCAACATCATCGTCTTCGTTAAATTCTGGAAGTACACTAGGTGCCTCTGCAGGAACTGCGCAAGTTCCTGACCTAGGTTTTCAAAAAGGTCAGTCAATGAACTCAGCGGATTATATTGTCAATTGTTTGATCAGGATTGAATATCTCAATAATTCAATCAAGCGAAACGGTGAACCGCAATACTACATATAAGGCCAAAAGCAAGGATGCAATTAACTTTAATCATGCACGTTCAACAAGACACATTCTAAACCTCATTCTTTAAATGATCAAATCTCTTTGAATGATTTAATACGTTTACCAATCGTTTGCCATTAAATGTGTAGATATTGTTACTGATCAATTTGACTCTGATTTTTAGAAAAGGCATCGACTTTTGTTTCACAATTACAACAATAGTCTGTGGCCTTACTACGAACAGCTCTTCCCAATTTATCAAAAAAAAGGAAATTCTAATTTAGAACATTTTGGAAATTCTCCTCTGAAATAGCGTAAACAAAAGTGCGCTAAATAAAAAAAAACGGTTTATAAATAGCCCACAGTTAACCTGCATATTAAGAATAATTGGGCATATTTTCAATGTAATATAATAATTATCGTTGACAAATACAATGCTACTGTACCAACATAAACACCTGGGCAGTTTTTAATGTAAATATTTAGCGTTGGCGACATCTTGGTAACATCTTACTGTAATATAAAACTACATTGATGACGTAACAATCGTATTGTAAGAAGACGAGGGTTTGAATAAAAAAATTATCATATTTATTGGTTTATCATTTGACTAGCCAATATTAACACTTTGCAGGTTCTTCTGACGTCGGTGGGGATCTTTCAGCTCTTCTCACACAGCTACAATTGACCCAGACTGGGACCAGTTCAACACAAGGTAAGTATAGGTATACATCCATGTAAGGTAGAGATAATTTGAAACAAAATGTAGCAATTATCATTTAAGCTTAGAAATTTTAAACAGTAATATAATCAATTAAGGATTGAGATAAGGGTTTTATGTTAAAGTCTGTAAGTTTCGTTAAGCGTGATCGCAACGGCTATGGTCATAACATGGCGTTTCTATAACTTTAGGCGGCACCAAAACGTCACTTTAAAAAATGACCAAGGAACAGTTTACATTATTACGACAAGAAGAATACCACAGGTACAAATGGAAACACCGCCCACAAACGAGGTTGACGTTTTTTATATGAGTGGTCCGACGTGGTGGCAGCATATGCTCGTAGTGTGTGTGTGTGTGTGTGTATATGTGTGTGTGTGATGGTTTGCCTGTGTGCGCGTGCACGTACGTATATGTGCTGAAAATTTAACTATGATAGGCTGCTCTGTATTTCGTTATTTTTGTAGTGCATCATATCACCAGCAACTCACTACAGACCTCCATTTCCCTACTCCAAGCTTAATAAAACAAAAACTCAGTACGAAATTATTTCAAAAACTATATAAACAGACAAAAACTGTTCTACTGTCCCGAATACTTATTTTACCACTTGCATTGTCCTCAGGCTCTCAGCTTGGAGGTACCTTACCGAATGCGAATGTGCAAAACGGCCAGATCGGATTAGCAGGTAAAGGTTCTACGGCAGCATTAATTGAGCGCAATCTATAACAATATAATTATAACAAGAACTCTATGAACCACACATGAAAACAAATTGATGTTAAATAATATTAAATCAATGTTTTTTGGAGATTCGTATTGACATATAAGACGTTTGAGTCTAATAATCAAATAAACCAGTGTTACAGAAACCGTGCCGAACCTAAAACACCCGATCTAAAGTATGTTTACATTTATAGCTGGGTCTTCGACTGCCAACAGTGAAGCAGAAATCATGAAATTATTTGAGCAGCTGAGCCAATCTGGTGATGGTAAGTATTATTTTTGAATAAAATTGTTTCGAAATCTAAATACAAAAGTGACAGTGATAATGACGAAACGTACTGAAAAGTGTCGTTAAGATCGCCTTCTGTGAAGTTTGATGAAAGCATCGGAACAAAATCATGTTATTTCTACGGTTATAACACTGTCTTCCCATCATTATAACAATGTAATAAGCTACACATATAACCCATGAGGGTACAAAAACAAGCCAGTATGTTTATGAATTTCTTTCCTTGCAAGTTGACGCCTGTCGATTTAAACTCCTTACATACCGGAAAAAATACATGGTTTTAGAATATTGATTCCCCGAAAATAATAATCCCAAAAAATGTGTTTCTATACAAAAACAACGACATTTAATCCCAACGAAAATATATGCTTTTACAGTAGATACAGAATTGCGTTGTCGTTTGTGATTTAAACGTGATATTGTTTAATTTAGACAAAAATCATAGACTTTTAACATAAATATTTAAAGAATATATTGCACATTAAGCATTTATTCATAAAAAAATCAGTGATGTCGCAATATTAAGATAGTTCACGATATGAAATGTGCTAACAATCATGTCACTGTTAAATCTGTGAAAGAAATATTAACAGTATATTCGTGTATCAAAGAGCCTAGCCTTCAACAGTTTAGTTATTTATATAATTTTCTGCTGTGTTCAGTGGTTAACAAGTTGCGGAAAACTTGCTGAGTAAGCGCATTAAGGAAATATTTAGTTTCTTTATATGTGTGTATTATAATATTTAATGTCATACCACAGGTGTGTCGGACGCGAAACTTGTTAGTCTTATAGAGAGACTGTCCCAACTTCAGAAAGGGGTATCCCAGGGATCGATCAGTGAAGGTATATACTCAGTTGTTCAAATACTACCCTTCCACTTGTATTGATGAATCGTTTTCTTTTGCAATTTCGCAATGTATACTCTATACTTGATATTTATTCCCGGTTTTAAACGCTTTAATTTGTACTTCCGCTGGAGTTTTATTTTAGATAATGTCTATGATTCAGACTGGCGTGATACACATTAAACAATCAACAAAGTAGCTCTATTATTCCCTTATCGATTTAGTAACACATCGTCGATTCCACTGATTATGAGTATGAACTTATTAAACAGTTTCATAATCATTATCGTATAATCTAACCATCGCAAAATGTGTTAAGGAACACTTAGCACATTCTGATATTTAAATGTTTTAAGCAGTGATAATACTACTTCTAAAGACTATAATCAAACTTCAGTTACCAATTTTATTTTGTGTAAATGCTTTATTGTACTCGTCTCCCTTTTTGTACGTATGTAAGCTATTTTCAATTGTATTTTCCTAGACGGATATTTACTTGTGATGATGTGAATTTCAGTTTCTGTTAAAAATGAATTGAGTAATAACAAAAAAATGAATCAATGAGTAACAATGAAATAGATAACTGTAAATGAACTGCCAGATTACATTACAGATGTAGTTATACTGTCTTGTTAACGACTCGGTATTATTTGTAACACTTGGTCGAATTCATTCGTCTTTATCAAGGGTCTCCTTATATCTGTTTTGTTTGATTAATATCCTGGTTTAATCGATTGTGAGTTCAATGTACCATTTGGTTCTGTCTTTCATAGCTAACTGTTTAGTGTTAAGTAGCATTTTTGTTAAATGCTCACATGAAATATTCAATAGCCTCAAGGAAATTGACGGGGAATGTCCATTACTGTAGGTGGCACTATGACGCTGGCTTACATACATCTTTAGTAAAACACTTTTCCTGCTCCCAATTGAGTGCCGCCATTAATGATTCAATGTTCTTATACAAGGTCAACAATCGACAAGAAATGGCATCATTTCACGAGTATCAACACTGTCCAGTGGCCCAACACAGGGTAGCATTTCCGATGGGACAGGCGAATCGTCAGGAAACTCAATTCACGGTAGGTCCACACACGCTCTACACATGTTATGGTGTGTAATTCACTTGCATATCATGTGTTACTCCCATATTATAAACCTATGAACAAACTTCATACCTTGTATATGCGTAATACCTAATATTCACAACCGAAACAATCTGATTGCGATGTTAAATGTTAAGAATAAGTCAATAGGAATTATATGTACAAGTGCACTATAGGAGATAAATGGTCACATGCAAATCATGTGACATTTGTTTATTATCTCAGCAATAAAGTTGATATCTTAATATAAGTCTCATATAAATGGACGTGTTTTGCATTAAATTTCAATTCAGTGATAAAATTAAAAAAAGGAAATAATTAAAAGCCACTTTTTGATATTTCGCTGAATCTTCCATAATCAACAGGAACGTATTTAATGGCATAATGTTTTTTGAGAGACAAGTGTTTATTTGTTTTACAACTAAATTCATAGTTAACCCGGTGGACCTATTACTCTACCTGGTGCTGTTTTAAATGTTTCCTGTCTAAATTCCTAGCGATCCATAATTTCACTTTTCGTGCATTCGCCTTAAAAAAGATGGGGAATCATGCACATACGCTATTCATTTCCATAATCATTAAGATGGGGAGTCGTGAAGATACGCTATTCATTTCCATAATCATTAAGATGGGGAGTCGTGAAGATACGCTTTTCGTTTCCATAATCATTAAGATGGGGAGTCGTGAAGATACGCTTTTCGTTTCCATAATCATTAAGATGGGGAGTCGTGAACATACGCTATTCATTTCCATAATCATTAAGATGGGGAGTCGTGAACATACGTTATTCATTTCCATAATCATTAATGGTTATTCATTTGGTGTGTATCAGATACGCATATCTCGCGTAAAAATAGAAATAAAAGTATTGCACATGACATACGAATAGAACTTGTAGTAATTTAATCAACAATATCTGCATTTTGTACATACTATGCATATATTGCATTTATCAAATAAAACAACTTATATATTAGTTGACTGTCCGAACTTATTATCACCATAATGTGTTAAAATAAAGTCACAATATTTAAATAAAAAATAAGATTACAATCCTGATCGTAACCTATAATAATTCTTAAATTATTTTTCCAGGATCAAGCTTTTGGAAATCGCAGTCAGGAAGTTCCAGTCATGCTGACAGAAATGGGCATCATGGTACTTGTTACTGTGGCGTCGGTCATAGTTAACATAACCCGATCATTAGTTATTTGATATATCAATTATTTACCATTGATGAACAAATGAAAACCTACCTGAAACTATGTACATATCAATCTTTATCACATAACTGACCCATTTTACTAACATACTTCCATGTCATAAATATGGAGTTACACATGTGTTATCAAACCTTAAGGTGCTGCGATTGGTCGAGACTGAGGGAACATATTCCTACGCCACTACGAAATTTTGAACTTTATTAACTTATTTTTTTCTAATAAAGTTTAATGTTGGAACTATTAAATGAATTAGAAATGTCTATTTGGTCATTATGATATCATTGCATTTAAAATTGTTCGTTATAAAAAACATATTATCTGGTTTTACTTAGCACTGCGCGGAAAGACAATACTGCGATCGGAGTACTTTGGTTTTGACATATTGTGTTTGAAGTTACTTTTCAAATAATGAATGTTATGTGATGATTAGAATCCTACATTCGTGTCCATGTCATATTTGATGTATTTAACTCGTTAAATAATTTGATATGACACTCGCCCAAAGGTTCGTGCCATAAGATTTTGTTAACTCGTTTAATAAATTCAATATGAAAAAGACACTCATGTAGGATCCTCTATTTTTAACTTCAACATTTTCTTTTTTCAACATCACTTGAAATATGTTGTGTTTCCGTAAACAACTGTTCATGTTCAAAATTTATTTCAGCATCCAGTACAAAGCACATTTCGACAAATCATGGTTCGCACCAAGGATTAGAAAGCACAGGAAATCAAGGTAATTTATAGTTGGCTATATAGTTAAGTGAAACTATAAAATGTTACGATATAGCTTGAACGACCCATCAAAGGATCAACCCAAACGATAAAAACCAAAGTCTTAACAGCTCATCAACACAACCCGATTATTTATGGCAGTGCAGTAGTTTGAACGGTCTGTGAACACAATATAATGGCCCACTCTACACAATATTGTCACATAGGACAACACGGTATTCTGGATGGCCCACTCTACACAATATTGTCATACGGGGCATGAATGTATTCTGAATGGCCCGCTCTACAGAATATTGTCGTACAGGGCGACACAGTAGTCATAATGGCCTAATCTACCAATAGTGTCATACAGGGCGAAACAGTAGTCATACTGGCCAACTCTACACAAAAGTGTTATACAGGAATAACACGGTAGTTTTAATGGCCCACTCTAAACAATAGTGTCATACAGGACAACACAGAATTCCTAATGGCCCACTCTTCACAAAAGTGTCATACAGGATAACACAGTATTCCTAAGGACACTCTACAGAATAGTATCATACAGGGCAACACAGTATTTATATGGCCCACTCTACAGAATAGTGTCATACAGGATAACGCAGTAGTCGTAATGGCCCACTCTTCACAATAGTGTCATACAGGATAACACAGTATTCCTATGAACACTCTACAGAATAGAGTCATACAGGATGACACAGTATTCCTATGGACACTCTACAGAATAGAGTCATACAGGACAACACGGTAGTTTTAAAGACTCATTCTTTACAATAATTGTATACAGGGCAACACAGTATTCCTAATGGCTCATACTTTACAATAGGGTCATACAGAGCAACACAGTTGTCATAAAGGCCCACTCTACACAATATTGTCATACATGACAACAAGTTATTCTTAATGGCCCAATTTACAAAATATTGTCTGACAGGGCGAAACAGTAGTCTAACTGACCATCTCTTCACAATAGTGTCATGCAGAGCAACCCAGTATTGCTAATGGCTCACTCTTTACAATAGTGTCATACATGGCAACACAGTATTCCTATGTCCACTCTACACAATAGTATCATACGGGACAACACGTTAGTTTTAATGGCCCACTTTACACAATAGTGTCATACAGGACAACACAATAGTTTTAATGACCCAATCGACACAACAGTGTCATACAGGGCAACAGAGTATTCTTAAAGGCCCACTATACAAAATATTGTCATACAGGGCTACACTGTATTCGTAATGGCCTAATTAACAAAATAGTGTCTGACAGGGCGAAACAGTAGTCTAACTTGCCATCTTTTCACAATAGTGTCATGCAGGGCAACCCAGTATTCATAATGGCCCAATTATCACAATATTGTCATACAGGGCAACACAGTGTTCCTATGGCCACTTTACACGATTGCATCATACTGGAAAACACGGTAGTTTTAATGGCCCACGCTACACACTATTGTCATACAGGACAACACGGTAGTTTTAATGGCCCATTCTACACAATATTGTCATACAGGGCAACACAGTATTCCTATGACCACTCTGCACAATAGTATCATACAGGACAACAAGGTAGTTTTAATGGCCCACTCTACACAATATTGTTATACAGGGCAACACAGTATTCCTATAGCCACCCTGCACAATAGTATCATACAGGACAACACGGTAGTTTTAATGGCCCACTCTACACAATATTGTCATACAGTGCAACACAGTACTCCTATAGCCACTCTACACGATATCATCATACAGGACAACACGGTAGTTTTAATGGCCCACTCTACACAATATTGTCATTCAGTGCAACACAGTATTCCTAATGGCTCACTCTTTACAATAGTGTCATACAGGGCAACACAGTATTCGAAATGACCCAATTTTTACAATAGTGTCATACAGGGCAACACAGTATTCGAAATGGCAAGCTTTTTACAGTAGTATCATACAGGACAACACGGTAGTTTTAATGGCCCACTCTACACAATAGTGTCATACAGGGCAACACAGTATTCCTAATGGCTCACTCTACACAATGTTGTCATACAGGGCAACACAGTATTCCTAATGGCTCACTCTTTACAATAATGTCATACAGGGCAACACAGTATTCCAAATGGCTCATTTATTACATTAGTGTCATGCAGGGCAAAACAGTATTCCTAATGGCTCACTCTTTACAATAGTGTCATACAGGGCAACACAGTTTTCGAACTGGCCCACTTTTGTTCTTCACAATATTGTCGTACAGGAAAACACGATATTCTTAATGACCCACTCTGCATAATAGTGTCAAACAGGGCGACACATTAGTCTTACTTGCCAACTCTTCAAAATTGTGTCATACAGGGCAGCACAGTAGCCCTAATCTACGTAATTACAACATTGTTATGAAAGCATAACACAAAACATATATCACACAGGAATGTTTCCAGTCTGAAACAGTTCTGGGCTTTCAGTTATATTTTAAGAGTGATCGGGGATCATAATTGTGAGGTGAAATTTAGACTTGGACAGAAATGCCTTGCTAATTGTCATTGGTAACCATTGAAAATAGAATACTGTTTCCAAAAATGTGTGTTCCTTTTTTTTGAAGAAAAAGTGTTCTGGATTAAATGATTTTAGATGTAACATTGTAAAACAAAGTAGAGAGATTGAATATCGTTTAGTGTAATTTATTGTTTTTGATGTAAGTTTAAGGACTAGAATTGAAATTTACCATTTCAGATGCATCATGTTCAATATTTATTATCGAATACAAAAAAGTTTCGTTCAGAGATTCTCCTATCATACGCGCGCCTATTCGTGTTATATCCGATACTCTTAAGTATCGGGATACATAACATAAAGTAAATGTTAATAAAAATAGAGGCACATAACTCATCAAAATTGGACTTAGTCAGTCCTGATAAACAGGGAATCAGAAGAAAAGTAAGTGTCCGTCCTATCCTGTCCGTTCCAAACATTTTAGCAAGTACGACGCTATTTTGTTTTATTAGATAAGTTTAACGATAGGATGCAGATGATCAAATGAAATGGCGAGTTCATTCCTCGTTTTTGATTGTTGTATTGTTTAGGTATATCCTCATTTTTTATTGTTTTTTCCCTCTAAGTTTGTCCTGGCGTGTGAAGCTTTCAGTGTTGTTAACTGTGTTTTGTCCTGGCGTGTGAAGCTTTTAGTTTTGTTAACGGTGTTTTGTCCTGGCATGTGAAGCTTTCAGTGTTGTTAACTGTGTTTTGTCCTGGCGTGTGAAGCTTTCAGTGTTGCTAACTGTCTTTTGTCCTGGAGTGTGAAGCTTTCAGTGTTGTTAACTTTGTTTTGTTCTGGCGTGTGAAGCTTTCAGTGTTGTTAACAATCTTTTGTCCTGGCGTGTGAAGCTTTCGGTGTTGTTAACTGTGTTTTGTCCTGGCGTGTGAAGCTTTCAGTGTTGTAAACTGTGTTTGTCCTGGCGTGTGAAGCTTTCAGTGTTGCTAACTGTATTTTGTCCTGGCGTTTGAAGCTTTCAGTGTTGTTAACTGTGTTTTTTACCCNAAGCTTTCAGTGTTGTTAATTGTGTTTTGTCCTGGCGTGTGAAGCTTTCAGTGTTGTTAACTTTGTTTTGTCCTGGCGTGTGAAGCTTTCAGTGTTGTTAACTGTGTTTTGTCCTGGCGTGTGAAACTTTCAGTGTTGTTAAATTAGTTTTGTCCTGGCGTGTGAAGCTTTCAGTGTTGTTAACTGTGTTTTGTCCTGGCGTGTGAAGCTTTCGGTGTTGTTAACTGTGTTTTGTCCTGGCGTGTGAAACTTTCAGTGTTGTTAAATTAGTTTTGTCCTGGCGTGTGAAGCTTCAGTGTTGTTAACTGTGTTTTGTCCTGGCGTTTGAAGCTGTCAGTGTTGTTAACTGTGTTTTGTCCTGGCGTGTGAAGCTTTCAGTGGTGTTAACTGTGTTTTGTCCTGGTGTTTGAAGCTTTCAGTGTTGTTAACTGTGTTTTGCCCTGGCGTGTGAAGCTTTCAGTGTTGTTAACTTTGTCTTGTCCTGGCGTGTGAAGCTTTCAGTGTTGTTAATTGTGTTTTGTCCTGGCGTGGGAAGCTTTCAGTGTTGTTAACTTTGTTTTGTCCGGGCGTGTGAAGCTTTCAGTGTTGTTAATTGTGTTTTGTCCTGGCGTGTGAAGTTTCAGTGTTGTTAACTGTGTTTTGTCCTGGCGTTTGACGCTTTCAGTGTTGTTAACTGTGTTTTGTCCTGGCGGGTGAAACTTTCAGTGTTGTTAAATTAGTTTTGTCCTGGCGTGTGAAGCTTTCAGTGTTGCTAACTGTATTTTGTCCTGGCGTGTGAAGCTTTCAGTGTTGTTAACTTTGTTTTTTCCTGGCGTGTGAAGCTTTCAGTGTTGTTAACTTTGTTTTTTCCTGGCGTGTGAAGCTTTCAGTGTTGTTAACTTTGTTTTTTCCTGGCGTGTGAAGCTTTCAGTGTTGTTAACTTTGTTTTGTCCTGGCGCGTGAAGCTTTCAGTGTTGTTAACTTTGTTTTGTTCTGGCGTGTGAAGCTTTCAGTGTTGTTAACAATCTTTTGTCCTGGCGTGTGAAGCTTTCGGTGTTGTTAACTGTGTTTTGTCCTGGCGTGTGAAGCTTTCGGTGTTGTTAACTGTGTTTTGTCCTGGCGTGTGAAACTTTCAGTGTTGTTAATTGTGTTTTGTCCTGGCGTGTGAAGTTTCAGTGTTGTTAACTGTGTTTTGTCCTGGCGGGTGAAACTTTCAGTGTTGTTAAATTAGTTTTGTTCTGGCGTGTGAAGCTTTCAGTGTTGTTAACAATCTTTTGTCCTGGCGTGTGAAGCTTTCGGTGTTGTTAACTGTGTTTTGTCCTGGCGTGTGAAGCTTTCAGTGTTGTTAAATGTATTTTGTCACAGACACGTGTATTAATGTAAAAACTGTTGAAAATAAAACAGTAATATCTTTCTGCAAAACTATTTAAATTATTTCCAGACTCACATATGTATGGATGACAGTATCCAATATGGATGACGTTAGTTTTAATAAATCACCTTTTTATACATACAGTACACATTGTGCTACATTACTACAAGAGTCAAACGTTTACACTTACTTCGTACTGTACAATCATTCATTCTGGAGTTATTTTATATATTCAATTATTTTTTGACCAGGAACTGTGAACATTATCACATCCACCTTCACCTCGCAAACAGGGGCTTCCAGTCCAGACAGTGGAAGATCTCTGACACAAAACTCCCTTTCAAACTTAAATGCTGGGACACACCAAGGTTAGCTGTATTTCACGAATTCAAATTGTACATAGGTTATAAAATCTATATGACTTTAATTTCAACAGTTTTAAAAAGCATTAAGAAAGTTATTCATTCATTTTCAATGTTGAGAATAAGCAACGTTCAAGTATCCCTGCTCAATACAAACACCGCTGTGGTATTGCTGATTAAAAATAAAATAAATCTTCTGGTTTCATAGTGTGGCATATACCCATGGTATTTAAAAAGTCAAGCGAGAACGCTACACAAAACAAAACAAAATAGAACTTTTACACTCCTCATTGTAACGACGTTGAACTCCATATGTCAATCATGCAAAACATATTATTTGAACCAGTCTTTGTAAATAACCTTATGAGAAATAATTTAGCATTGATGTGGAATGTAAGAATTAATTGTAAGTAAAGGTATATATAGGTCATGAAACGTCGTTTCTGTCATCATTCCCTGACACCTAAATAATAATAACTTTATGGGATATCTTAAGGACACAATCTACATGTAGTATAGTATGTTCTTTTAAAGAACGATTTGTTGTATTTTACCGTTTGAAATTAGGTTGACGTTAAATGATTCGTACATCTGATACATTTCGCTTTCTATAGGTACTGGGCGATCTCCTGCTTCATCGTCGTCGTCCCTTTCTAAAATATATCGTCAAACAATATCTAATTCTAATAAAGGAAAGGCCTCAGCTCAATCATCAAGTAAGTCGCGCTCTTCTAATAAATCGTCAAGATCATCCAAATCATCCAGAACATCTAAGTCATCCAAAAGGTCAAGAAGCTCATCAGAGCGTAAATCTTCGTCTTCTAAGAAGAGGCGTACAAACACATCGGAGGAAGTCATGAAAAGGACGAATAGAAGACAGGGTAAGAAACGGCCACTTTTTTAATTAGAAAGCTAGGCGTATTTATGAGATATATTCCTCATAGTTCATGTCCACTCTATGAAACTAACAATGTCGTTCACAGTAATATATATTAAAATATAATCAAAACCTGGTGTGATAAAAAACACCTTTTCATTCTGGTGTACACAAGACAAACTGTTTCAAACAACAGTGCTAATACATTTTATTCCGAGCTGATTTTAATTTGATAATGGGTGTATTGTTTTATCCATACTGTTTCATTGACGAAAGACACAAGCCATATCGATTAGGATACCATTGCAATTCGATTATTATAGATTATGATTTTATAACATTAAAACTTATAGTTGGATTGAGCAGAAGAGATCCGATATGGAACTCCAATATAGGATAGATGGTTCCCAGATGGGTGCACTAGGTGACCTGGGCCCACTTGTATAAAACATCTCAAAGATAAGGAAAATCTCAAGCAATGTATTGTCTATGGGAAATCTTAAACTTGAAGAAATCTCAAGAGTTGAGATGTTTTATACAAGTGGGCCCAGCACTATTATGGCGTAAAAATCAGATGACGGCGTTTTATTATGACGTCAAAATTGAAAACATGCAAAAAAGTCGTTTATTTGATTGTGGCAATTTTGTCGTCGGCATGTGACACAACCTCAAGAGCATTACAGTTGTTGAGTAAGCTTGCATGGATCTTTTAATTTGAGGTATACCTATGTTATACCGTCCCTTTTCTACTCTTTTCAAATATGACCTTAAGTTGTTATTTGGAAATATGCCTATATTTATGTCTCCCAAACAAAGTTTGGGGACAAGTGTTTTTTCATCCGTTTCCTCTTCCTATTAAGTCACCCCGAACGAAGTCGGGTGACTTGTTCTTATTGTTCCGTTTCTTACTTATTCTTATTCTTATTCCTTTGCCGTATCGTTTCCGCTCTTCATCTAGGGAACTACTTATGGGATCCTTATCATACATTGCATACATAATCAGTACGATATCTAGTTGTGCATTCAACTTTTTTTTTGGGGGGGG